TCGCTTCCTAATTTGTACGGTAGTGTGGTCGTGTTGCCGATGCTGATGGTTACATTTGACGCTGTCAATCGCCCGGGCGTCATGGCAGTGCCATTGGCACCTGTCACGGCCCGTCGAATGTGAACTAAGCTTAACGTTATTAGGATGTATACACGCACACACATACACACGCACATGCACACACATATGCACGCACATGCACACACGCACGCACACACACACACACACACACACACACACACACACACACACACACACACACACACACACACACACACACACACATATGTGCAGATGCTGCCAGGTTCGCTGGCGGGTTCGCTGGCGGGGTCTGCTAATAATGCAAGGCAACGCAGCTGCACGCACAACACTTGTTTAGACAATCGTCGGGGAGCTCCTCGACAGCAGGCTAGAAGTGACTGGGATCCAATTGCACACTTCGACGGTTGGAAAAAAATTCTGCTTGCAGGATTACTGTGTTACAAAGAAGATACCGGTAACAGGAAATTAGTGTGCATTATCATTTTCCAGTTTTGCGGTAGTGCGCAACAGATATTTCCTTGGTGAAGTGGTACAAATGACCATAAAACTGGTGTGTGATGCAGCAACGGTGAGCTGCTATGACGTAAACAGCACTTTGCGGTACTCTCGGAGCTGCGCGCATTGGTTTATGTACTCTTGCCACCAGTGACTCGGGACGTGTACTGTCAAAAGTAATGGTATACGATAGGTTTGAAGTAGAATTACAGAGTTATACCGATGTAAATATACGACGCGGCGACAACAAGTATAGCGATAAGCAGAACTAACTCTGCTGTCATCACCATGCATCAAAAGTGACCTGAAAATCGATTCTGGGAAACCGGCTTTGACTTTGTTGATGCATGGTGATGCGGCAGAGTTAGTTCTATTTATTCCATTTTATTGCTATATTGAAATTGAAGAAGAGGTTGGTGCAACTTCGGCGATACTTACAGAGTCATAATAATTATAATCATCAAGAGTACAGTGGTATACATGGTGCACCGCCTAGAGCGGTTTTCTTGGGATTACTCAATCTGCGGACAGCATGCTGTTTCGTTCTTTGTGAACTCATCAGCGCAGCACAGAGAAAATGAGGCCGAACCTGATTTGGGATTATGCGTCAACGCGTCTCCAAAGCAACAACGCATGCTTAGCAGTCGTGGAGAAATCACGTAGAGCGAAACCCAACAGCTCTGATTTTTACGTATGAAAATTCCGTGCAGTTCATACGTTATTTTCAAACGTAATTCCGTAGAGCGAAACCTCCCTAATGTCGAACTAGTACTTGAGCCGGAAGATGATAGGTGTTGATTACTTGAGCCAGAAGATAATAGTGTTGAGGCTTTTTACTTCCTCTCAGCAATGCTGGGAAAGGGCTGAGGAGCATGTGTCTTCTCCGAAGCATGGTTTTGTGATAGGTGTTCAGGGCATAGCACCGGGATTTCAGGTGGTCCGGTCAAGTGGGATACTTGACCGGAAATGAACACAAGTTATCAACGACCCCCCCCCGCTTGGTACGATTTGGGTGGGTCAACCTTTTCGAAATAAAGTCCGGCCCTGGCCGGATTGGCCAGACTGGGTCCTATGGACCTGATGGTTTTAAGGCATGGCCCACGGCACTGTTTTCGGCGACACCACGTCGTACGAATCGTGCACGATTCTACAGCCACTGCATGCCTCATGCCTTGCCAACAGGCTCGCACTGCATCACGCGTATCAGCATTACTTCGAAACTAGAAGTTACAAGCTGAAGTCCACATGTCCCTGGCCACGGTATTTTCTGCAGAAATCGCCGCATTAATCTCTACAGGATTTGAGAAAGAACCGTCTGACTGTGTGAAGTGGCAGTGCATCCGAGTGTTGGCCAGTGTTGCCATAAGATGAGCTGAATATAATAAAGCTGCGTGAAGCGTCGTTGCGAATGTATAGGATTCAAGGAGTTCACACTTTTGCCCGTGGATTCTGAGTTTTTGTCCGTGATTCGTAAAATTACTATGCAGACACCAACGCATGTGCAGCGCTACGCTCACCTTCAATTATATTGATTGTATTAAAATGAATAATGCCATCAACGATCATGTCCTGAACAAACCGAACTAGGTCAGAGGAGGGCAAAACTGAGACGGCACCTATAATCCATAGCGGCATGATAGACGAATATGGCGCCGCGGATGAGTTGGAGACGGCCAGGGCTGGCAATTCTCAGAATGAGGTGCACAACTGCCTTCTGTTCTCCTTTTCATGATGGCGGTAGCTTGTGTAGACTGGACTGGACCGGTTTGAACTAGCGAAAATACCATGATTACCGGCCACGCATACTACCAAGAGTATAATACCCCCCCCCCCCCCCCCCTCAGAGTGTGCAACTCCTGATACCCTTTCTATGGGGTACGCCGAAGGCGAAAACTCACATCACGTGGTGCAGTGTCGCAGATGTACGTTTCCTGCCCGTTTTTAGCGAGCAGGGGAGCACTCTCTGACAGAAACTCACTGCGGGTATGCATGATCCTGGCAGATATTCGAATTGCGTGCACGCTATCCTTCGTTTGTACGTAGTACGAACGTATCTGAGCACATGATGTGAGTTTTCGCCGTCGGAGACCCCATATGCAGAGTTGCACACTCTTGGGGGGAGGGGGGGGGGGGGGGATCGGGAGGTCATACTCTTGGTACTACAAGTAGGAGTCCAATGTCATCGAGAGCCAAGAGCTTCGGAGGGCATTGACGAAGCCAGCCCTAACGACACCAGTAGCAGGGAAAGCGAGGACCCCGGACAGGACCTTGAACACAACAACGAAGAGAGGAGTGACGAAGACGAGGCTTCGGCAATTCTGACTGTGACAGAAAGGAGGCTATGGTGCTACTCACCAAGGTTACTCCTATAGGAAGGACAAGACGAAAGCAGCTGGCAGGATTACTTGGCGATGTACTAGGCCAGCATGTGGTGGGCGTCGGACAACAGCTGGAAGTAACGTTATACTCGAAGATGAAGAGGACAACACTGCAGCAGTAACCACAGAGCACAACCATCCGCCGATTCCCGAGCAGGTAGAAGTGAGGAGAGCTGTGAATAGCATGAAGCGTCGCTGTTGGCAAGGAGGCGCAGGCGTAAGAACTATATACAGTAAAACCTGTCAAGGCGACCACCTGTCCAAGAAGACCATTCCAACCAGGACCCAGGGATGCTATTTCCAGTCAAATGACCCTGGATAAGGAGACCACCTGGTTACAGAGACCACGTTTTCAAGGTCCCTTGAGCGGGAGTCTTACTTTTTTTGTACACAGGCTTCACTGTCTGACGCGGAGTCCACCAACCTGCCAGCGCCAGTTGCCGCTCATTTGCCGTCATTTAACTCTCTGGACTCCACTCTGTATAGATGTCGAAGAGAGCAGTACCCTGCACTGCCTCGAACGCGTGCAGCAATCGATATTCCTGATGTTTTCCGCCAAACGCAAGAAGGTTACGACTTCTTCCTGGCATCCATCGGCCATGAGAATGACACTCTTGTGTTCGTATCCCCTCCTGATCTGGAGACGCCATGGAACAGTCAATCCTGGTTCATGGACGGAACATTCAAAGTCGCCCCTGCTCTATACAAAACTTACGACCATCCATATCATGGCCAGTTCAGGGAAGTGCCCGTGCCAATGGTTTACACTCGGATGTCGCGAAAAACACGCCAGACAGACATACGTCGATCTCAGAGTCTTCCGTGCACTTAAAGACCAAGCAGCCGCTAGAGCACTCAACCGTGCTTGGCCTTCAGACCATTACCACCGACTTTGAAAGTGGATTGGCACCCACTATATCGGAAGAATTCCCCAACACAATGCATAACCGTTGCTTTTTTTCCATTTCTGCCAAGCGCTGTATCAAAAGGTCCAGCCAGGCCCAGGAACAGTCCGTCACTAAAACTGCGCTACGTATACTGCAGATGGACATCAGGCAACACTAGACAAAAGGCGTTGTTCGCAAGTATGTCCCCAAGTCAATGCCCACGTGAGAACCTTGCAACGCAGACTCGATGATGGAGAGATTACGTTGCTTTCTTGAGTTGATTATGCAAACAGTGGCGTTTTCCTATTCAATACCGAACTGGCCATTTTGAGTTGATCATGATTTGAGTCTTTGACAAATCGAGTGTCCATATTTTGGGGGGTTATTGGTTTGCTACTTTTTATTTGGGGACGTCCAGTTATCTGGTTATGGGGACGGGGCTTTTGGGGGGCACTCGATCAAGTCAACCGCACTGTTTTGAGTCACGCTCAGATCATGTGGGGGCATACCGTACTGCCGTATGAGGGACGCGAACTTCCAAAACGGCCAATTAATTATTTCGAGTGTGATCATGGACTGCGCCGTCGATCTAGGAGTTGGCCTGCCTTTTTGATTGAGCATTTCTTGCCGTACAATACTACAATGTACAATACATGTAGTAACTACCGGTAATTACTGCGTGGCTCTCACGACGGAGATCGAGGGCAGTTTGGACCAGGGAGTCGTATTTTACGACTCCCTGGTTTGGACTGTACTACAAGTATGATTATTTTCATTGGCTAGTCCAGGACAGGTGTGGCAGACGAACTGATAAAGTACCCTTTCCTCTGTCACAAAGTCCGCCCTTGGCTTACTTTTTTTCTCTTCATGATCATGACAAACAGAAAACTGGCAGTGTGACTGTGACCTCAACTGATTCCGCTTCATTTGAATTTTGAAAAAAGACAGCCGCGCGCTCCCGGTCCCATCGTGTCGTAGAATCTGCGAGTAGATCCTACAAATCAAGAGTCCATAACCCATGGACTCTTCTTGTACAAATCGATCAAGATGTCGCGCAGCTCGTTCCCGGTAGGGCATGTCCAGGCTGCATTTTGATGTACCGGGCGCCGCGCCGTATCATTCAATTTCAAATATGCCGTACGTTTTCAACAAACATCTTTTTGTTGTGCGGTACTCGATGCCAGAAAAAAAGGCAGAATGCTTACTCGCTCGCATGCCGCCACGTGCCAAAGGACTCTCTCATGTCATCATTGAGCTTTCGATTTGCGCCGATGTTTTGGACAGCACACTGGACAGGCGAGCTGAGGAGAGAGCTGGTGAGAAGTGGTCTCCTAGCTTTGCCAAAGCCTTTGGAAGAGCTTCTAGTTCATCGATAATGAACGGGGCGCAGACGGTTTGCTTGCCGAGCGCTCCACCGGAGCCATTCGCGCGCAAGAGAGAGCCTGGGGAAGTTGCCAATGAAGTTGCTCGCACGGCGCGATGGGGAGCACTGCGAGCCCTTCAACACCAAAGGTCGTATGCGCCTGGCCGACCTTCCAGCAGTCAAACTCCTAAAATAGCTCAGGGAGTTCCATCGGATCGGCTTGTGCGCGAGTCACCTTATCAGGCTTATGGGCGCGTGAACGGACATATGTCGTCAGTGTGTGAATTGTCTCCATCCGGTGGAAGAAAAGGCACAGGCATAACTGTTAGAGCTAGAGACAGGCCCAGCTCACCATCATTTCTTGTGCATACCAATCGTGAGGAACCGCCCAGAACCAAGACGAGATCTGCCAGTGATGGTTCACTGTTCAAAAATGCGCCTGATGTCTGCACTAGCGTACGTATATGGAATTGTGCAGCTCGTTTTTATTATTATTAATTTTTATTTTTATTTTGCAACACTAGGTTGTTCTCACACCCCCCCCCCCCCCCCCACACACACACACACACACTCAGAATGAGAGATCTTGCTAACAGAGAGAGAGAGAGAGAGAGGGGGGGGGGAGAGATTCGGTAATGCTGCCGTCAATCAACGGGAAATCAACTGTACGTAGATGCATGGGCAGAGCTGGCGCGTGCGCGTACAGCTATTATTTTGGCTTGAAACGTGCATTGTGTGTACATTTTTCAGGCAGTGCGTATCTGGTACATGTACATGACTGTTCCGCAATGTCAGATATTAATTTTATCGTCGTGCCAGGAGTACAATACTGGAAATATACAAATTTCGGCGCTACAAGTTGAAGCTTTCGGCATTTCACAATTTTCGCCATCTCGGCAGGGATTTATTTTTGGCACGTGTTAATACTATACTATCAGTACATCATCAAAGCCGATGTGAAAAATTCCGTCAGCGCTGTGTCTATCGCAGCTGGAGGAACACTCTGACTTTGGGGCAGTGAGCTGGTTTAAAAATGCTTTGGCGTTCGTTAGACTTCATCGCAATCGGTTCAGCCAGTAGCTCTGAGCTCCGCTGACAGGATCTACAGTAAAGCGACAAATTTAGCGTTTTCATAAATTTGGCTGGTTCACGATAAGAAGCTTCAAAAATTCTATCTCCTCAGCCGGATCTTGTAGTTGTACTGTCTAAAATCAATGCACGGAGAGGTTTGCGGCGATTTATATTCGCGAATGCGTGGTGGTCGCGAAAATAGCAAAATTTAATCTCTAGCGAAAGTTTCTCAATTTACAGTAACCAGATCGAAACAGCTAGCTGTCTGGAGTTGAGAAATCTCTCTTGTATTTATGTTTTATGTTCATACCAGCTCCATCAAGGCTACCTGACTAAACGCGGTGGAAACTTTGCGAGTTGGCGGCGGCGTTGGTTCGTGCTGCGCGGCGATATCATCTTCTACTTCCGTGAGCCCGACGTGAGTGGTGTCATTGCTTGGGTGTTTTGCATGTAATCGAGAGGTTAACCCTTTGTGGACGGACTGTACGAGTTTCGATCTAATAAGATCGAAACTTCGTAACTTCGTAACTCCATTGTTTCTTGAGCAAATTCCACAATCGAAGGGTCTACGTGGTAGCGGGAACTCCAAGCTGTCCAATGCAACAATCGCCGAAGAGTTACAATGTCGGACGCCAGAGATATCGCACGCCGTATTCTTACCTCGGCAAATTCAAATTTTTGATCGATCATTTCGCCATTTTGGGGGGAAATCCCTTTTCGTGTGCTCTTTGAGCGACTCAGCACATGATAATGACGTAGCCGGCTGAAGTTTGAATCGTCTCAAACAGATTTGAGCGTTCTGCGATGAAGGAGAGTGGAATGGCGTTGATGGGACGAATTTGCTTGCATATCAGGCTTGGAGACGACTTTGCTGTGTTACCGCGCCTGATTTGTGGCGGCCGGATAAGGGAGATTGGTACCCTGACGTAGCTCTCGCCAAGAGCTTTCCAATGAGCCCTTGATTGTGAAAATCAAGTGAAGGACACCAAAGTTATGACATGGAAAAGTTGAAAATTGTACTGACATTTTGTAATTCTGGTGCATACTGTGCTAGTAATCCGTCCATAAAGGGTTAAGATGCACGTTATTTCCGACGTGACGCGCAATTTCACGTCAAATTTGGCGTGAGCTGCATGTCACTCGCGTTGTTTTTCAAAGCGCGAGCCGAATGACGCGACCTGAACTTTCTCGTCACGTCAGAAATAACGTGCATTTTAACCTCTCTATTCTCCCCACAACCTTCTCCTTCTCCAGTCTCTCCTTCCATGCACCTTTGATCTTTCCCTACCACGTTCTACCTGGCTGCATGCTGTACTACACCCTATTTTCGGTTTAACTTGAACTTCAGAGTGAGTTCGGTAGAGAAATCTGACGCCTAAATTTTGATAACACCAAGAGGCACTAGAGGGTGCACTGTGTGTGAACTTGTGAAGGGAATGCTGGTCACCTAATTCTACATTACACCTGAAACCAGTCAGGTCCCCGACACCGACATTTTCCTACCCGACAATTGACATGCTATACAGTTCAATCACTCTGCCTGTCTTCTTCGCCCTATTCGCTGTTGCAGGACATGAAGCATCTGGGAGAAATTCCCCTCGCCGGCAATATCGTACGCCGCTGTGAGCGTGCCGATGTCAAAGGAGCGCCAAGCAATTTTCTCTTTGAGATAGCTCGTACGTTTCCCCTCTTGTCTGTGTTTCTAAACTTTAGTCTCGTAATGGCCGGTGGCCAACAAGTTATACTATCGTCGCCAAAAACATCCGGCCAATGCTGCACATGGTAGTCGACTACCATGTGCAGCATTGGCCAGGTTTTTTTGGCGAACATAGTAGTGTTGCAAGCCTATAGTGTGTGTGTATAGTAATGTTGAAAGCCTATAGTGTGTGTATAGTAGTGTTGAAACTGCCTGATTGACTACAGTGTGTACTGTGTACTTGAGCAGTTTGGTGGAACACGGCACCTTTAAGCTCCGTGCACAGGGGAGCCAACTATCTTGCACCGCACCTCGTGGCACTGCGGACTGCATGTTTGCTTGTCGACGCACCTCGTGGCACAAACCGTGACCCAGTGTTCTTTCTCGATCTTGGCCTTCCGAGTGTTCACCACCTTCCCATCTCTCTTGACTCGACCTCAGACTAACGTTAGGAGCGCTGCTATCTGTTATAGTGTTTACTACGAGTGACCCGCAGTAGCCAGTTTGTGTCTGTGTGTGATGAATATCACAGTGCGGCTGTCCTCCCCGACCTCCCTAGCTCCTCTCTAAAGCCTAGTTCACATTCGACGGAACGCTGACGGTACGGGACGTAAGGGCCTGTCGGGGAGGCTGGGGTGAGCTGTAAAATCTTGTACGATTCGTACGACACGACCTACTGCAGTCGTTGCGTCGTTCAATAGCGAACGGCGACAGTCGTAAGACACGGTCCGTGGCAGGGTGACTTTTAGACCTAATTTCTTGTTTTTCGGGACTTCTTTTCAATTATTTCTCCTTGAATGAAGCGGAATCAAGTTCACAATACCAGTTTTTCATGAACACCAAAAAAGTAGCTTCGAGAGGTGTGCCATTCAAATAATAGCGCCAGGAAATGATAAAACAGTTCGTCTGTCACGTTCCTGAACTATCCCTAAATACCATAAGTGACATCAGACCATATCTTGCTAAAATTCAACTCAAGTCGTGTTAGCCATTCTGCGAGTTATCATGGGAAGCGCAGCTTTCGAAATGCTAAAAATTTCCAAGTACGAACCGGGAGTAGTCGGCGCACGATGCCGTCTCCTGTTCACACTCAAAATGCAACTGTTTTGTACGCTTGCGTCCCCGTCTACGCTCGTCTACGGTATGAAAAGTTGGATCGATCCAACTCTTCCCGTCGCCTCCCGATCCGTACGGCAGTGCGATTGCGTTCCCGTTCCTGGTGTTCACATTGGACGCCGTCAGACTGTCCTGCCGCTTCCCGCCGATCCTTACGTCGGGTCCCTTCGCGCCCCGAGGGCTCGAGAGTCAAATCACAGTCATGCACCTCATGCCACGTATGTACACCTAGTAGCAAGAGTACATAACCCCCCCCCCCCCCCAGAGTGTGCAACGCCTGATCCAGCTCTGCATAGGGTCTTGGTCGAGCGTAATCGGATCTTCGCGTCATAATACCGTACACATCTGAGGGTAACCCGGGGAGTCGCGGGTACTCTCGGATCAAAAACACTGGTGCCCTGCCTCGAGACCGGCCTTGCGCTGGTGTGGAGTGTACGCATGACATCAGAAGATCCGATTCCGCTCGACCAAGACCCTATGCAGAGCTGGATCAGGCGTTGCACACTCTGGGGGGTTATGTACTCTTGATAGTACCGTAAAGTCCGCTGCAAACGCCCACCCCATTTTTGCAAGATCTGCTGGCTTGTACACACTGACCCCATGCACTGTCACCCCTGCTGTACGAAAGTGCATCTCACACCGTAGCGGGAAGAGCGCTTCGCTACGGTAAACTATGTCCCCTTTCCTGGTTTCAAAATCTCTTTGGGCACTAGCCACGAGCTAGCTTGTAGTGATTTTATGATGATGGTTGCTTTATTTCGCAAAACCAAATGGGAGGTTCTTCCGAATAACAAGGTAGCGAAGAACAGAGAATTGCAGGAACCAAATACACTTCTGACGGTGTTTCGAACCATCATTTCCAAATCACGCAACACTCAAAGGCAAGGGTTTTTCTCGAGCACTTCAGAGTTTTGAACAAATTAGCAGCGACTTTGTAGGTGTAGCTTCTGTGACACACCCTGTTCGACTTGCAACCGCAATGCTGCGACCAGTCAAGTCGTTGAATGACGCTTCGTCAGAACAATCACTGTTCCGTTCTGAAAGCGAGACATCGTGGCACTGCAGAAATTTCATGAAAATCAGATACTGTACAAGCAGAAATATTCGTCTGGAATTTGATTTCGTCTTTTTCGTCCAACGAGCTGTTGGACTAAATGAAATGCCAGACTATTAAATATTGATTTGTCCAGCTTTTCAATACACTCTTATGATCCATGGATCAAATTTACAACTGGACGAACTCCCTTTCTTTGGAGTTGGACGAAATTATTGACCGACGAAATTTTCTGCCCCTTCAGTAGTTTCTACGGCATCAATATCACATGGAGAGTAAACTACCACAAAGACGACTCATTTATCGAATGAAAGGAAATCTCAACAGAAGTTTTTCTTTGCGGCAAGATAATGACAATCGCTTTTGCAGAGCCTCCTGGTAAGACATAGGCAGTTTGTAGGCAATACAGCCATTTTCGTACGCGTTCGACCTTCATGCCAGTTTTCTACAACTATATTGACCTGAAAAAAGACGAAAATAGTATGGACCCGCTGGGGTGGGCGTTTGCAGCGGACTTTACGGTAGCAGTACCTGGCGAATTCTCCATACCCCCATAGTACATGTGCATGGTACTCTACACCCCCCCCCCCCCCCCCACAGTACATCACTACATACACTCTAGCCTCTCCCCATAGTACTGTAAAGTGAGAAACTTTCGCTAGAGATTAAATTTCGCTATGTTCGCGGCCATCACACATTCGCGAATATAAATCACCGCAAACCCCTCCGTACATTGATTGTAGACAGTACAAGATCCGACTGAAGAGATACAATCGCAAAAGTTTCTCATCGTGAACCAGCCCAATTTATGAAAACGCTAAATTTGCGCACCGCGAAAGTTTGTCGCTTTACAGTACATGTGCATGGTACGAGGTGGTTTGGCTTTTTTTTAACATGGTTGTAAAATGACGTTTTTCAGTCACTTCTAGACAAGCTACGTCCAAATGAATTGTTGCAAGTGGAAGTGCTATCCTTCATGCCCGTTGTGTCCAAAAATGGGAATGATCCCACTTTGGAAAGTGTCTTGAATCATGTCCTACTTTCATAGTATTCTCAGGATTCAAATAATTGGTGTGTCATTTTTTAACAAATTTGTAAAATGGCATCACAAACTGGGATATTCGGTCATCAATGTTCTGAAGTTAATAGATATCACTTCAAGGATTGCTAGTGGATGAAAATTAATCTATCAACAGAAGAGTGAACTGCATTGTATGCTGCGAAAGCCGTGTTTTTGTATTTGTAACTAGTGGCTGTGTTATACGGTGGAATTGGGTAGATAGCATAGCATCGCAGCGATGTTTTCGTTCTCACAGAGTGTATTCCGTGACCTTCTGTTCTTCATTACTGTCTCTAGTGATGGCAAGACGGCCTGACGTCGTCCAAAGGCCCTGCGGAAGCAATTCACTGCCCTCCTCGTCCATTCAGGGGCTCATTTTACACATTTTACACAAAATGGCAAAGCACCCACCACTAGTTATACCAACGTGGCAGGGAGAATTAAATTATATGCACCAAATTTTCTGGTCAATGTTGATCTACGATAAACTGGCTCTCATTTGCCACCACCCATGTTTCGATACAGCCATCCGGAGCAGAGAAACAGCCAGAAGAAAAGCAAATTTTACACATTTGTTAAAAAATGCCAAATGTTAAAAAAAGCCAAATCACCTCGTACTCTACCCCCCACAGCACATCACTAGCCTCTCCCCATACACGGCTGTTCACGTGCAGGCACTTATCAATATGGCGTCGTTCGGTGCGATTTATGTAACATTGTGCGAATAGTACAAATACGCGATGAGTTTGCGTTTTTGCAAGAAAGTCATGTCGATCCTCGCGTGGTTCCACGATTTGGGACGCGAAACCAAGAGAAAAGTTTTGAAAGCGCTCGAGCGAGATACTCGACTTTTCGGCAATTTGAGAGAGAAAGAGGGTGGAAAGGCGTCCTGGCCTGCCCAGTTAGCTGTCTTTCCGCTTCAAACTTGCTCGAAGTACTCCTGGCAGTCTGGAGATTGATCTCACCAGTGATTGTCAGCTTCTGCTTGGCGTGCTCGCGTGTACAACATTAAAGTTAGGCATTTCGTAATCGTTCAACGCACAATAGGGTAGATATCACAATTTCAAGCTCACTTGGCCGGCTGCTGTCTTCTTCTACAATATCCCACATGCCGACTAAGCAATTTACAGCAGGAAGCAGCATTCTACACTCAACAGCAACTAAAGGGCCACGCCATTTTGTCTTCCAAATCAAGAGAAAACAGGCTCCTGACTCGTCGCACGTATTTAGAAGTTCACGCGCGTATTCTAATGACACTTGGGGAAGACAACCAGAGGATAGTCCTCTACCTGGGAAAAAATCGATCTAAGCTGGGAAAAAATCGGGAAGGGCTTCTCGGAGCCGAGTTTGTCAGCGACGACACAAGGAGTATTCCAGAACGAAGCCAAAGTCGCACGACACAGAACAAATGTTTCTTGAAGGAAAGGCAGTCATGTGAGGTACGAGCGGAAAGCTTGAAACAAGACGCAGATGATCGGCGTGTTCCCCGGGCTGTCCGGGCTGACTAGTCTCCAAAATCCAGGGGAAACCATGGCCTACTCGTGTTCTGACGATTTGAAAATTCAAATTTTCTTGCCATTGAAGCCCAATCGAGACTTTCGGCGGCCATATTGTTAAGTGGCGTGAAATCGCACAAAAAAACAGCCGTGCATAGTACATGTGCGTGGTACTCTACCCCCCACAGCACATCAGTCATCACTGGCCTCTCCCCATAGTACATGTGCATGGTACTCTACCCCCCACAGCACATCACTAGCCTCTCCCCATAGTACATGTGCATGGTACTCTACCCCCCACAGCACATCACTGGCCTCTCCCCATAGCACATGTGCATGGTACTCTACCCCCCACAGCACATCACTGGCCTCTCCCCATAGTACATGTGCGTGGTACTCTACCCCCCACAGCACATCACTGGCCTCTCCCCATAGTACATGTGCATGGTACTCTACCCCCCACAGCACATCACTGGCCTCTCCCCATAGTACATGTGCATGGTACTCTACCCCCCACAGCACATCAGTCATCACTGGCCTCTCCCCATAGTACATGTGCATGGTACTCTACCCCCCACAGCACATCACTAGCCTCTCCCCATAGTACATGTGCATGGTACTCTAGCCCCCTCCCCCATAGTACATATGCATGGTACTCTAGCCCCCTCCCCCATAGTACATATGCATGGTACTCTAGCCCCCTCCCCCCCCCCCCCCCATAGTACATGTACATGTGCATACACTCTAGCCCCCTCCCTCACATCATGTGTTGTACCAAGAGTACATACACCAGAGTGTGCAACTGTGCATATCAGATCTGAAACAGCGCAGTTCGTGCACTACGTCACCCTGATGAGGTCAGCCAAGCCGCGACTTGCGTACAGCTCAAATTTTCATGTTCCATAGCCAAGTTTGCTTGATTTTAGACGTCCTGTTTCAGGATTTCGGTGTTTTGTGTGACTGTGTATGCTGCGTACATCCACCGACAAGTAAAGTCACCAGGCTATCCGTCTCATAAAACCGAAATCAGGACAAACTCAGTGAACTGCACCACCGCGACTGGTTACGCAACTTTTCACCGTACCTGTGGCTTACCATGCCGTCAGAAATGACGTAGTGCACGAATTACGCTCCCACAGGAACCATCCTGTCCCTTTGGAAAAACGCGGCCAAGAATTCAAAATTCTGCGGCAAAGTAAAATCAAAAATCTGCGGCACTTTCCGCAAGTTTTTCACCCTCCTTGTAGAGGATATGACAACTAGTTGCATGAAGGAGCACTTTTCATGCTATCCTTTGCAGTCACGAACTGAATAAGAGTGAAGAATCTTGTAGAGACCTGCACTGGCAAGAGAAATGTGCTCAAACAGATCGCAAAGTAGTTTTTCTGCTGCTTTCTGAGTAGTAATTTTAGTAATAGAGAGGTTCTGCACAACGAAAATTCGAACGAAGTTTCGCGACAGGCCTTGCGAAAATGTGTACGAATTTTCGCACGAACTTTGTGTTCTGCACATTTTCGTAGTTTGCATGCGCCAAGTGCACGTACGCCATGATCCGATCTCACGAAACTTCCTACGAAAGTTCATTTCGCGTTCCCTGCAAGTTTCGCGTCCAAAGTTGCGAAAGTTCGTGCGAAGTTTCTCACTTTGTGACGTAGAGCGAAAGTTCGTACACATTTTCGTTTTGCAGAACCTCTCTAATTTACCCTAAAAAATTCAGATTCCGCAGGCAAAAGTGTGGATTCCGTGATTTCCGCGGATGATGGCAACTTCTGCGAAATTTGCCGCGGCCGCGGAATCGCGTTTTTCCAAGGGGACAGAACCATCCCGAGTTGCACACTCTGGTTTATGTACTCTTGGTTGTACTTGTAGTGTTCCCGTTGTATGCTCCCGGCCCGTTTTAGCCACCAGTGGAGTTGAAAAAATAGCACTCCCCGACAGAAACCCACTCTCAGCTTATGCGAGTCATCAGCATGATCTTGACAGATATTCGGAGTACTGCACGCATGCTAACCTTCGTTGTACGTACTTGGTACAAATAGATGATATGCCAAATAAGTAGTTGCATACAAAGCTCAAAGTTGTACAGTTACCTGTGACTTGTACTCCTGCAGAGCTCAGGGCCTACCGTGTACACATTGTAGTATAATTTGTATGCAGCTTGTATGCGATGTCCTCTCAAGTCTAGTTGCACTTTATTTGGCATATCATCTACTGTATTTTGTACACATGATGTGAGTTTTCGCCATCAGAGACCCTGTATGCAGAGTCGCACACTCTTGGGAGCTTATTTACTATTCAGTAGGGGTAAAACGAAGGTGTCAAAGATTCGAAGAACCTTCGTTTTCTTTTGAAACAAACCTTCGTTTTCAATTCAAAAGAAGGTTTAAAATAATCTTCCTTGTATACAGGAGGTACTGTACTGTGGTCAGTCCAGTCGACTAGTTTTGTGTCCACTTGGCTCCCGTAGGTGCCATTGGTAGTGCATAGTAGGCTACGGACTGCGCTTGAGCGTGGTCATTCACAGCCACGGTGTGCAGACGTACGTAGTCTTGGGCAGTTTGAGATGGAAACTGCGCAGTGCAAAGGCTATGGGCCTGCCAATTGTGGTGACTGCGTAGCAAATATGTGCTCAGTCATGTACTTTGTAAGGCACATGCGCCGAGTGTGCTTCAAGGGGAACTGTGAACTGGTAAAAGAATCCTTCGACACCTTCGTTCGTTTTGCTGAAGAAGGTTCGTTTAGCAAATTGAGACCTTCGTTTCACCCCTACTATTCAGTATTGATACTACTCGTATGCTGTGTTGTGCAGTTTTCATGCGTAAGGGCATGCTTCCTATAGACCTGATATCGACTTTCGTACGTGCAGTGCTGCCAAACCGTCCGATTTTTCGGACAGTGTCCGATTTTTGAAGGCTCTTCCGAAAACCGGTCCGAAAAGGGAAACGTCCGAAAAGCAGCAAAAATGTCGGAGATCATTACTTTCCTATGCAGAAGTCCTGTACTTTCACTTTTCAGCGCAACTGAAGGCACAAATCACTGTACATTTTCTTCTAAAAAGGCTAGCGCTTGGCTGTGGAAGTGCAAAGTAACATGCCTGGATCAGGCTGGATGGCATGTACACTGACAGTCTGTACAGAGTCAGTGTGCGACCACACTCATCATTACAAAATTCATGACAACTCTGGGGTTACCATGGCAACGAAGCGAATTTTCATGGTGTTTTAGGCGATATTTTGAATTCTCTGTAAAAAAATTGCCGAGGAGAAAAATTCGCACCATGTGGCCAGCCTTGGCGGTGAAGGGTGTCCGATTTTGGGCGAAAATTATTTGGCAGCACTGTACGTGTCATAATTACCCTCTCTGGTGTGGCTCTTTTGGGCTACTTTCATCATTTTGCATTTCTTCAACTCTTGGTGTGCGTGCGTGTGTGTGTGTGTGTGTGCGCGCTTGTGTGTGTATGTATGTGTGTGTGTTGCAGCTGGTGAAGGGAGTGAAGGCTTTGCTAAGGACCGCGGCAATTATCTTCTCTCCGCCAGCAATCAACTGGACATGGAGGAATGGATAACAAAAATCACTCATGTCATAGCCAAGGTATGGGCAGTATGTCCTACAATTAGGGGTGAAAGTTGGCATTGAGATCCCGAGTTCGAGTACTCTGATTTTCTCCGATCGAATATTCGAGTATTCGAGTATTCTTCATCTCCTAAAAATTGCACACCGAGGGCCTTAAAATCACATGATACAACCCTGATGAACCGAGTGGCAGTCATTTTTCTCTGGTATATTGGTTGGTGGGTCATTTGGGCTCTCTCTACTCGTGAACAAATGTTCACCACACAGTCTGCACATCAATATCTGCCGACTGCTGCTCTGAAACTGCAGATTTCTGTGGTAAATGCATGTACAGGTCGTCCCTCGTTAATACATAATCTCTGGGACTTGACACATGTTATGTATTAACGGGGTTTATGTACTAAACGACAGTGTACATAGCTTGCTTGTATACCAGAATGTTTCACTTTTTTCAACTTTTCTGAGTATTTCTTGCTGCCATGACTAGGGAGCGAGATATTCTTGATTCCCTCGATATAACATAAAAATTATGTTATAACGGTCACAGTCAGCGAAGATTCTACAGTTGACATGATACATGCCCAGCGGCGCCTGTAGTCACTCGAAAAAACAACAGAGCTTTGTCGGTTTTTGATGTGCGCTCTGATTTCTGAGCTAATTGCGTCCACAAGTAGAAACTAGAACACGATGTGCCTCCACTGGAAGGCCAAAAGAACAACAAATTATGTACTATTGAGGTGGGTGGCATGCGGGTACGGAGAAATGTTATGTACTAACGGGGTTTATGTACTAACCGACAAAATTTGTATGGAAGTGACCACGTTTCGTCCGGGACTTGAGATTTCTTATGTACTAACGGGGTTTATGTACTAACCGGACTCGTATTAACGGGGGACGACCTGTACCATGTTTGAACGAGTACTCTGATTTATTCCGAGTACGATTATTTCTGAAAAAACCGAGCGAGTACTCGAGTATTCGGTATAATTGTTTCACCCCTACCTACAATGTAGTGACTAAGTCCGAACGTGCACAATCTGATTATTCGTATCTGGAACTGAACGAGGTGTGAATTCCTATTGTATGAGGAAATCCATTTTATGGAGTAAACTGCCGGTCAGAGTTACGAAATAGCAACTGCTCGTTCTTCTGTCTGTGTATGTAGTAAACGGTAAACGTTTCCCTACATTTCAAGCAGTGTCCAGGCCAGCGATGTATGTGGTGTCAGCCCTGACGGTTGAATGACTTCTGGTCTTGGCTGTGTCGCCTTGTATTGTACCCGGACTGGGTTTCTGGCGAATCAGCGCCATTGTATGCGTTAACCCTCCCCTTCCAACAGTGTGCAACTCGCGCATACCTTGCTGTCCCGGCAGAATTTCCAGTTGACGTCATGTTTTGTACGGGGTGTCAATATGTATCGCACGGGTTTCCTTGAACTAGTTTGTTACAGGACAAGATGAGGATTTGTCCACCACAAGTCCAGGGTACATCTGATAATACGTGTACAAAGCGCATTGCATCGTGAACATGATGTCAACTTGAACGTTTACTAGCGGAGTCATGAGATGATGTGTTCTATGATTAAGATTCTGCTGCCCCCCCCCCCCCAACTGTGTAGAATGACGATACTGCAGGCTGAGATATTGAGCTGCTCGGTATCTAGATGCAGCTATGTACAGTGCTGTGCCATGCTGTGCTCCTTTCCAGTCTTGCTACTGCTGCTTCTGATCACATGTACCTGTGCGTTGCTTTCGATACTGTACTGCAGGAGGAGAAGTGCATGTTCAAGCAGGTCATTTCGGAAACGGTTCAGCGAGAGGTCAACCGCCGGCATGGTGGTATTATCCCACTCATCGTCCTGCAGTGCTGCTGCTTCCTCTCTCAGTATGGTACGTTGTTCAACAGGGGCGTTGGAAGTAGGGGTCAAAGGGGTGTTCCGGGTACCCGCCCGTTAACCTCTGGTACCGTTAGCAAAAGGGTACCCGTTAGGATTTCGATGATCCAGTCGGTGCGGAACAACACCCCTGGGATCGCGCATTCCCGGCGGGAGTCAATCATTTACAACCCTACCCTGGATGTCTGCATTGTTGTTGCATTTTCGCACCCAGTAGGTCTACCTCTGCAACTATCAGACACAAATCGATCTGCGAATCACAATGTGATATCAAAATGCAACCTGAGACCAGATAAATTAAAATCATGATTTATGTAAAAATTGCGCAAAAATTAAACATGGCTGCTAAAGGGTACCCGTTAACCCGCCCGGTAAGAAAATTACCCGTTCGTTAGTTAAAGGTACACCCGTTTGACCCCTAGTTGGAAGGTATTTCAGTGTGGTACGGTCAGCCATCTGAAGTACAGTTTCCTCGATGGCAGAGCCGAAAATTTTGGAAATTTAGAGTCCGGATCAGTGTATTGTATTGATTCAAGGGGTGCCTGGGGCAAAAAGTGGTACGGTCAATACCGTAGTGACCGTACCGTGTCCGACGCCCCTGTTCAATGTGCGCGTGTGTAGGATTTGTGCTGTATCAGTATGCAGCTTTGCACTGTGGGTGCGTGTGTGGGTTTGGTGCACGTGCATGGGTGAGGTGGGGGGGGGGGGGGGTGTTTGTATGCGCACAAACACACACACACACGTGCTGCTCAGACGAAGTAACCACCTTGCAATGTGCGTTCGGTTTGCTTGTTCTGGTATTCCCTTCAGGCTTGGATGAGATCGGGCTGTTTCGCCAATCTGGCCGAGCGAATCGCATCAAACAATTTCAAGAAATGTATGACAGAGGTGAGGAAGTTTGAATGCTCTCCATACTTGTGTCGTGGTTTGTTGAGTGCGGTGACTTTGGCCTTCTCAAGCTGCTTCACAAATACCCTAAAGTCCGTATAGAAGTGCGCACTTATTTTCCGAATTTAATGGTTACACCTGTACTTGCTTTTGGATGGAGTACTAACTTTTGGGGCACAAACGAACTTCGAATCTGTCTTGCACGTGGTGGAGAAGTCATTCTGCCACACAAGCTTATGCGTCAACTGTAATGGTACATGTACTTTATTCTGGCTGGACGTGTTGTCGGTTTAAACTTGACTGCAACCGACGGAATCGAAAATGAAGGCTGCGCTTTTTTCGATCAATTTATACGCTTCTTTCATGACGTTTCAATATCTCTCTCTCTCTCTCTCTCTCTCTCTCTCTCTCTCTCTCTCTCTCTCTCTCTCTCTCTCTCTCTCTCTCTTGCTTTGTCTTGGCTTTCATCTGCAGGTCAGTATCCAGAGTTTGGAACGTCCCTGGAGACTGACGTTCACACGGTTGCTTCACTCCTCAAGCTATACTTGCGCAGCATCCCTGAAGCCATCATTCCCCAAGAGTACAACGACAGCTTCATCGCTGCTACAAGATGTGAGCTTTCTACATACGGTAGTCTGCTGCCGCAATTGCCTAGCAGATGAATGTAATTGTTGATTGGTTCCATGCGTTCAATACCGTTCTTATTTTTGTAAGAGCAATGTTGTGTGTGTTTGTGTGTGTGCCCGCATCTGTGCATGTTTGTGCGTGTGTATGAATACATTTGCTATGCCCAGTTTATCGTGAGCTCAACTCTGCAGAAGGCGTCCAGGTGATGATTGGTCAGCTCAAGGGTTTGCCCAAGGCTAGCTACGACTGCTTGAAATTCGTATGGTACGACCTGCATTTCTGTGTGTGTGTGTGTTGGGGGGGGGGGGGGGGTGCTGTATTTTTCCAGGGATCTGTGCGTGTGTGTATCACTATGTCCACCCTAATCACGGAAAAGCTAATAGCGGGGGCACTGTCTATAGCCAGGTGCACATGCTGTGGTGTCCAGGAGTTCGCACTCAAGAAGAGATGCCCACGAACTGTCCTCTGGTCATGTTCTGCTGTCTGCCTCCAAGTCATAATCGATGCAGTTTGCTGGCAGACCTGTCATACCTCAACTGGTGCTACACGTACGCGTCGTAGGCAAGAAACCAGCCGTTATGAGTTGCAGCCAATCCCGAGTGGTTTCTGTATAATTCTATGTGCGAAAGCTCTGTGCCCTACGCACAGAGTACTGTTCCAGCGGCGGTAGTCACCAGGGAGTAGTAAAATGTCTACTATAAGTATGGGATTTACTACTCCCTGGTTGTATTACTGTTCTTTTCTTACTGGTACTAGATGTATGCCTGGATGTCCACCCATCGATAGTGGTGTGTTTGTGTGCTATTGCTGTTGGCTCCCCTGCAGCCGCTTCCTGCACACCGTGCAAGAACATGCAGATAAGAACAAGATGGATTCTAGCAATCTGGCCGTTGTGTTTGGTCCAAACTTGGTCAGGCCCGGAAAGGTGAGGAGTGGGATTGACGCCTGCCCCTGTTGATCCGTTAATTTTGTGTTATGGCATTCGCCTTGGACTTCTCTTTTATGCTGCTGTGTGCATACATGCGTGTTTGTGTGTGTGTGTGTATGTGTGTGCGTGCGCGCGCGTGTGTGTGCGTAGTTGTATTTAGTATTTGTGCATTTGTGCTATAAAGTACAGATGTTGGGTCTGTTAGAGGTGCGTCGAAGTTTAGCTTTTAATCTCTGTTTGCTGTGCCATGTGCGTGCGTAGAACCAAGACGAGAATTCCATCCAGGGCGTAGCCGACATGATTAAAGTGGTGAAGGACACGGGAGATATGAATGTGCTGACTCGCATTCTCATCGACGAGCACGACAAGCTGTTCCCCGTTGTGCCCGACGAGTGTCCCATCTTCCAACTCATGGATTACACGACGTACGTATTATTTTAAGAGTGACTTTCTGTTGCCTGCACGCCAGTTTTGTCGAATGATTTGGTGTAGAGGGTATGCAGTGACGTCGAATCTGCCTTCTATGGGAGCTAGCTGAGTGGCAAAATGTCCATTCATGGGTTGTGTGCGTACAGAAACCCGATATTTAGAAGAACTTTGAGTGGCAACGCACTATGTGACGTGTGTTGCATATCCTCTGTGTAATGGTACAGTGAAACCTGTCTAAGACGACCGCTCAAGGGACCTTCAAAATCTGGTCTCTGTTACCAGGTGGTCTTCTTATCCGGGGTCATTTGACTGGAAATAACACCCCTTGGTTCTGGCTAAAGTGGTCTTCTGGGACAGGTGGTCGCCTTATCCGAGTGGTCGCCGCCTTGACAGGTTTTACGGTACAGTCAGACCTCGCTTATCCGGTCCTCGTTTATCCGGATCCCTCGCCATCCGGAAGAAAATCGCTGGTTACCGATGTGCAGCATATGTTATGCATACAACATAACCGGACCTCGCGATCCGCATACCGGTGCATAATTTTGTGTACAAACTGGTTGAAATGTGTACAAAAAGCTTCGTCGTATCCGGTTGCATGTGCCTTGCAGAAGCTAGAATCAGGGAGTTGTACAGGCAAATGAGGTCCTCGACCTGCTGGGTACATGTGGACAGCACTCAGTTGCATGCACTTGTCATTCTTCTCGCTTGTTTTACATACTGTGCACGCTAGTTGTACTGCATAGGACCCGTCTACATGTATGTACGATGTCACTGCTTTTGACATGCCACATGCATATACAGTATGTGTGTTCAGTTATCCGGTTACCTCGCCTATCCGGATATTTTTGTGGAAAACAGATGTGTGCGGTTAAGCGAGGTCTGACTGTACTACCAAATAAAAGTAAAGTTTGCACGTCCACGTTACAACCGGCTATACAATTGTATTGAGAAACACAACCAGCTTAGGAAGTTTCGCTCGTGCCAGGCCACCACCATGCCTGCCAAATAGTGCTTAAAATGCCGTCCTAGTTGTGCGTTATATCAACGCTAACGTTACTTCTAACTGAAGTTTCACTGTGCGGGTTTCGAGAGTGTGTGATGGTGTGTGAGACTGTCAGGCAGTCCAGCATTCAACCCAGCGGCCGCTTCTGATCCAGTGTAGCGTGTGCGTGCACGTGTGGATGAGGGTCTGCCCGACTGACCCAGAGATTGGCTCATTTTCTGTTCATCTTGATAATTGTCAATGTTGTCGTGCTGTGCTCTGTGTGTGTGCACGTGTGTGTGTGTGTGTGTGTATGTGTGTGTAAATGTGTGTGTAAACGTGAACACAGGCTGATGGTGGATTTCGACAGTCCCTGCGCGTCCGAATTGGTGAGTTCTTCCCAGAACGGCACCATGCTTTGCTAGTGGTGGGGTTCTGTTTCTACTTTGCTTCACACTTACACATTCACAGTTATAGCTTATGTCATACCCCTCAGATATGGGGAACAAGCGCACTAGCAG